CAGAAATAATATTATGTCATTTTCAGAAAATATTCTGTGACTTTCAACAACTGAACATTATAATAATTTTATATGTTTATCGAATTTTATTTTTGTTATTAAGAGGAAGTTGTACTATGATATAAAGCAATAATGCAGGGGTTTCGTAGTCCCTAACTTTTCAGGGTCATTTTTCATTTTGAGTGGATGAAAAAAATTGTACATATTCGTGAAGATCTGATCTATGTTTCTGTCGTCTTACTTTTTCGAAATTCGATTCGGTTCTTCAAAAAAAAAAAATTGGAAAATCATCAAAAAACACGTTATTTTGAGATTTTCTTCAGAAAGAACTGAATCAAATTTCGAAAAAGTGAGACGACAGGAACATAGATTAGATCTTCATAAATATGTACTAATTTTTTCATCCACTCAAAATGAAAAATGAACCTAAAAAGTTAGGGACTACGAAACCCTTGCATGGCAACAATTTGTATCCAGAGAGTGGCGCCGCTCTCAGAATTGATAGGAATTAACATTTATGAATGGAGATGAGATATACATTCCTTATTTGCAATGTTTACGAGGGTCTGGCATGTGTAAAAAATTTAAATTTCATAATTTCAATGGGATATCAAATTATCACATATCATTTCAGACTGCTCCAATATACCTACCTAGAAATTCAACAATATACGGCAATGTTAACTTGTTAACACAGTTATGTTACGGTGAGGTTCTCACAATTAACGATAATATTTCTTTGGTTCTCGAAACATGGAATATTTTGAAAAATATAACGTTATAAACGTTTATTTACGCGAATAAATTGAATTAGGATTACCTCGGGAATAATGACGGTCGAATTAGAAACAATTTTGGAAACGATAGAAAATCTACTTCCATCCAGTTCTAGGCATATCAAAAAAATATTTATCGCAATAAAAATGGATGCGCTTTTTTATCGGTATCAAAGTTTTTTCCACGACGACTCATTAGCGCTGCGGTTGGACACGCGTCTTTTGACCATCGCCGCATGATTTACGACCTTTTATAAAAAATAGGTATTAAGATCCAAAGAAAGGTACGAAATTACGCATTACGAACATCGGAGGCAATTACCAATATTATCAAGCTTCGTCTTCTCATAGATACAGTGTGATACCCACTTCTAATGGAAACACCCCTGTATCTTACGTTATCTTTAAGTAAGAATCCTGAAGTTTGCTGGAGCGGGAGATATACCAAAAATGCAATCTATGACCAAGTGGGGTCATCTTCAGTAATATACACTGCTCGCCAACAGCCATGGAACCACCCCAATTTCCGGAAAATGATATTAGGAGTCGAAATAGGTTGAAAATCACTTCGGATTCGGAATCAGGACGCCCAATTTATCGACTATTCATAGTTTTAGTAGAAAATTTTCAGTTCTGAAAAATTAAATTTTGTCGCACTTTTTACGGAAGCACCCCCGTATCTCAAGTAGAATCAGGACGCCCAATTTATCGACTATTCATAGTTTTAGTAGAAAATTTTCAGTTCTGAAAAATTAAATTTTGTCGCACTTTTTACGGAAGCACCCCCGTATCTCAGATCTCACGTAATTGACTTTATCTTTGGACTTTCCCTTACTCCTGCAAATTTCAGAACCCTACCTCAATAATTACGTGAGATACGGGGGTGCTTCCATGAGAAGTAAGACAAAATGAAAAGTTTCTAGGAAAACCATGAATAGTGAATTGGGTGTCCTGATTCCGAATCTGAAGTGATTTTCGAGATATTTTGACTCCTAATATCATTTTCCGTAAATTGGGGTGGTTCCATGGCTGTTGGCAAGCAGTGTATATCACTGAAGATGACACTTGGTCATAGAGTGCATTTTTGGTATATCTTTAGCTCTAGCAAATTTCAGAATCCTTACCCAACGATTACATAAGATACAGGCCATTAGAAGTGGGTCACACTGTTATACAGGGTGTTTCAAAAAAACCTAACCCCCTTACTAGGGTAGGTAGAACATTGCAAAATAAGTTGGGTTTGCTCAGTAAAAAAATGTCGTAACGCCATCCGTTTTCAAGATACAAGGTGTTGAAACAATGTTTTTTTTACACATTTTTTACGATTATGTTGAAACTACTGGCAACATTGTGATGAAATTTTGTATGGATGTTTCTTGGAATCTGACACATCGCATGCATTTTTTTTTATATCTGACTCTCATAGAGGGCGCTAGTTACACGGTTCGTACCGAGTAGTTTTGAACATAACTTTTTTGAGGTTGGATTTTTCAATCCAAATTTGATGTGAACTTGAACATCATTCAATTTCACACCAAAAAGGTACTATTGGTAAAACTCGATACTGTGTTCCGTTTTCGGGATATTTCGATTTGAAAATGATGAAGTGGTAACTGTTGCTGGTATGAAGCTATGTATTAGAGTGAGTATTATGAAAAATTATCACCTATTTATTGAAAACCAAAAACAACAATACATTTCTGATGTGAAACTCATTGATTTAACAATGAATCACAAGAATAACATCGAAACAGATTTGACTAAGAACATGAATTACACAGTTTTGTTGTATCTTGAGCAGAATGTGAGACATAATTGAACATCACTTGAATGACCTAACCTTATGACCTTAAAAAAAGAATATACAGTGTGACCCACTTCTAATGGAAACACCCCTGTATCTTATGTAATCTCTGGGTAAGGATCCTGGAATTTGCTGGAGCGAGAGATTCACCAAAAATGCTCTCTATGACCAAGTGGGGTAATCTTCAGTGATATACACTGCTCGCCAACAGCCATGGAACCACCCCAATTTCCGGAAAATGATATTAGGAGTCAAAATAGGCCGAAAATCACTTCAGATTCGGAATCAGGACGTCCAATTCACTGACTATTCATATTTTTCCTAGAAAATGTTCAGTTTTGAAAAATTAAATTTTGTCGCACTTTTTACGGAAGCACCCCGGAATCCTACGTAATTGACTTCATCTTTGGACTTTCCCTTCAACCTGCAAATTTCAGAACCCTACCTCCATAAGTACGTGAGATACGGGAGTGCTTCCATGAGAGGTGAGACAAAATTTAATTTTTCCGAACTGAAAATGTTTCAGGAATACTATGAATAGTTAGCGAATTGGGCGTCCTGATTCCGAATCCGAAGTGATTTTCAACCTATCTTTTGATTCCTAATATAATTTTCCGGAAATCGGAGTGTTTTTATGGCTGTTGGCGAGCAGTGTATATCACTGAAGATGACCTCACTTGGTCATGTCATAGAGTGCATTTTGATATATCTCTCGCTCCAGCAAATTTCAGGATCCTTGCCCAACGATTACGTAAGATACAGGGGTGTTTCCATTAGAAGTGGGTCACACTGTATAAATAAACTTCTGATGTACCGAGCAGTACTACAATTTTACAATAATTGTTCAATTGTTATCAACAACTATTATAATAAAGTTTTTCTACATTCATGCAAAAAGCAGAACTTTATTGAACTATATTTAGTGAAAAAAGAAGTTCTTTATTGCACTTAGTGCAATAAAGTTTTTATTGCACTCATCTGTCATTCTACTTCAACGTGTTGTCATCATGACAAACATTTTTTATATTGCAACTGTGGTTATAGAAACGTCAGTCAAAAATTAATTCTGACAATTAACAGAATTGTACCTAGTGCCGCACCTCAATAAATCATTTTTTGCTTTTTGCATGAACGTAGAAAAAATGTTGTATGTTACTCGTGCAAAAATTGTTTATTGCACTCGACGTGTTGTCCGACGAGGCCGTGAGGCCGAGTGCAATAAACATTCACTTTTTGCATAGTATCAACTAATCATTATTGAAAGTGGTTTCATAATTTTAATACTCTTCAAATTGACATATTTTTAGCTTTCTGTTTATGATTGTTACGATGAGAATTGGTGGTGGGAAAACAAAAAGCATCAAATCCAGTTCAGTTTTTGCTCCTCTTCACGATTATCACATACAGTGTGTTATTTTAATATTTCGAATAAATGTAAATTTTTCCTGAAGCCGAACCTGGATATTCGCTCCGCACGATAGGTGACTGAATTCAACGTCCCAAGTTTAAGATCCATACCAAACTTGAGGGAAATACACCGGGTGGTTCAATACTTATAGACGAATGAATAATTACTCGAAATCGATAAATCGCCCTGCCCTGTATCTCCGTTATGAAGACTCTAAAACCTATCAAATATGGTATTTTCAGAACCACCTTGGTGACCCCTATGTACCACTGAAATATTTCCCTTTACCTGTGGAACACCCTGTATAAATATTGGATGTGAGGGTTCCGAAGTTAGTCTGGTCTGGGGCTACTCTTGACTTGACAAGAGCTCGTTGTGATGGTCGTTATAATGTAAGTTGTTATTAGGTCTTTATATTCATTATTGTTTATTCATAATTGTCATCGCTACCCATAATGTTTCATGCTTCAATACATATTGTTTTCTTTGAATATAGTCTCGATCGTACTTTCAGTTACCCCTAAATTATTAGTGCCTATTTGAATATTACCTCTCGCAAAATATTAAGCCAAGCATACCCCTTATAAATCGATATGGATGGGCTAAACACTCTACTATATCGTGACATGGTGGAAACACAACTCTTTTGTTGTGACATGGTGGGGTAACCATCCAACCCTTTTGTTGTGACAATATAACAAATGAGAAGCGTAGTTATTGTCGATTATTCGCCATTACAAATGTATAGAGTTCTATAATATCTTTATTGAATAAAGTCAAGAAGTTTGAACGTGTTTATTGTTCTAAATACATGTACTCCAATAGGTTATGGGCCCAGAAGCAGGTCTGGAAGAGATTTAGAAGAAGATAATAGGCTTGTTCGTTTGTCCTTGCTCTACCTGCTGAACTTGATTTTTTTCTATGACTTTCTTTGTTTACATCATACCATGAACAGAAACAACTATGGAAAAAGAATCAACTTTAGCAAGTTTAGCAATACAAACGAACATGCCTAATTATTGTAAGTGGCAAAAGTTATTTTCACTTTGGGAGTCAACGGAAGCAATTGGAATACACGGAATTCAAGGAATATAATGGCGTCAGCTGTACAGATTTCGCATTTGAAACCTTTCGATGGTACAGGCTTTACCAATAATTGGGAATTCAGAGTCAGATTGGTACTGGAACAAAATAACGTGTTGGATGTCTTGGAAGAAATAGATGAGACAAAACAACAGAAAACTTCAGGGAATGTATTGGTCTTTATGATGTTGATTTATAGAAATGAAATTATTGAATATTTATTGTACTCGGTGTTTAGATTTGATTTGATTCGTTTGCAGAATTGGGAGGAAGTGTTGATATTCTGTTTGTTATTGTGAATCACTATGTATATACAATTCTGTAAAGTATGGTTTGTCATATAACAAATGAGAAGCGTAGTTATTGTCGATTAATCGCCATTACAAATGTATAGACTTCTATAATATCTTTATTAAATAAAGTCAAGAAGTTTGAACGTATTTATTGTTCTAAATACATGTACTTCAATAATTATTCCGGACATACTTCCGTCATGTGATAACGAGTTGAAACAAAAAGCAAATGAAAGGGAAAAATGTCCCTTTTTCAAATATCTAAACTTGTCGCGATTCAAACTGATCTAAGTCAGTGGCAGAGCGTCTATATTTCCGTGAATGTTTCGCACTCGTCGAAAGATAATATCCTATGGACCAGTGTGAAAATCATGTGGTGTTCACACTACAAGTATTCTAATCCACATGTTGAGTTTCACAGGTCCATCGGATATTATCTTCAAGGGGGGGGGGCGAAATATGCTCGGGAGTATTGACGCTCAGTTTTAATCATTTTGCTCAGGATAGTGAATGACGAGAGTGAATGACACAGTTGCCTTTCGATAAAATTCAATGGTTTTACTTGCCTTTGGGACATATTTATGTAATTTCGTTATCAGAGATGAAGGTTGAAATTTGCGGCCGGCTCTTGGACTGTTATTTTCGCTGTTGAAGATACACACATCAGTATCACAAATAAAAAACAACCCGACATATGATGCATGGAGAGAAAAAGGAAGAAAAGCTTAAACTAAACCATAGCACCTATATGATTCTTATTTGGAAAATAACAATTTCAGACCATATCTCGAAATCACATGTATCTTTTAGAATTTAACTAAATTCTACAGGAAAAAGTGTCTTAATGCCGTGAAATTTATCTTCTCCTAACTTAGCAAACAGCCATAGTTCTTACATGTGTCTGAGTCGAAAAAATTATATTTGTTCATAAATTGAAAAAAAAAGACTTTTGCTTCCACCAGTACATTTGTCTCAAACAGAAGATTGAAATAGTTATTTTTTTACTAGGCAGTCAATCTACATTTCCAGCCGCGTGAAATATAATTTTCTCCAAATGTTTTTCTATTGAAAGAAAACTCCATCATTTTGTGTTCACCCAATGTCAGTGTCAATTTTGATTACCAATTTCATTCAAATTTCTTGGAACGTTGCATAGCAACAAACTTTTCCTGTCTAGGCAGAGAAAGTACAACTTTCCTGCCTGTTAGTTGTCAGAAAAAAACCACTTCCCCTGCCGCTTGGAGAAAAATGTTCTTTCCATTTTTTTGCATCTCCTACAGTTCCTGAATTATTCTATGCAAACATCAAAATTTGCCCATGATGAACAGTAGCAGTTCTTGGCATGTTAAAAGAACTGCAATGGCTGTTCACAAAATATTGTATTGTTGATCTCTTGTTCTTGATTACAAAAACAGGGTTGTTCTATGTTCAATGACCTTCCTTCCAAAATAAGCATATAGACCCCAAGATATCTTCAAAATATTTCTTTTGTCATGCTTTTTTACAACTAATAAACTGATCAAATAAAATTAAGGATATTATTGAGGGCAAAAATTATATAAGTATTAATAGATACATAGATGAAGATAGATATATGTCACATTTTTTCACACGAGAGTTTTTTTTTTGTCCAAGTAATTTTGACGTTTTAATGAGAATTTTGTTGCCTGGAAATTGAAGAGAAAAAATTGCTTTCGAAAAAATTACGAATCCCAAGGACAAGATGAAATTTGTTCGGGCAGTTTTTGAATAACCTGTAAAGGCAACAAAACTCAAATCATTTACGTACGCCAGTGTCACACCATCCACATTTTCGACACAGACCAAGTGAAAAGAAAAGACGAAAAGAAAAGACCTCGGCCATACCGGGATAGAAGTATGTTCGCATCAAATTATTGTCTAGTTTTTAGATATGGAAGGCATCCCCACTAGACATAAAACTTTCCAGACACATTTCAATTTTACCCTATTGTGGACTGTTTGAAACGTTACTTGAAACGTCACCCAGACGTTTCGTCCAGGTTTCCTGAATATTTTTTAGTTGCAAGAACGTGTGAACGAAACCAAAATGGAATGTTTCACGAAAAATGCACCCAAGTAAGAATGCATGTTCTAATGCTGCTTCTACTGATGATTTATGTTTCTACATCATAATGAATACATATCACTATAGCAAATCCCAAATCAAAAAAACAGCTGCTGCTATTATACCCCGCCATCATTGCGGAAAGGGGAAGGATCGGTATCGGTACAAGACAGTACAAGGTCAGAGGAAGTCGACTGAAACGAGAGGAGAGTCAATGATAGCTTAGACAGCGTGAAATGAGCGTGAGCTCAACAACACTCTATCGCCAACCAATGCCACAGTCCTATTTCGAGTTTGCGAAATACCTAGTCAGTTTCTGATTTTCTGAATGTATGTGTATGTGGGGGGCCAGGTAGCCGTGCGGATAGAGTGTCAATATTCTAATCCGCATGCATTGTCTTGCCGGTCGTGGGTTCGATTCCAATCGACTTCAGACATTTTTCTGATGGCCTGAGAAAGTGTTTGGGATCACACGTTAAAAGGTAAGGCCCCCGTCATTCCTTGCTCGCACAAGTCTCTCGAAGACTTCTGAGGGTTGCTCGTAAGGGGGCAACCGAATGACGGATAGAACAATTTTAGAACAATTTTTTTTTAGACAGTGGTAGTCAAACCTGTCATAGTTAATTTGTGATCCATCGTATCCAGTTGCTTAGTTTCGAGGAGCCAAAAAGGGTCATCATCAGGATTCACAAAGTATTTTATCCAGAATGATTCAACATCTGAAGGAAATGTGAATGATATTGATGAACGGCACGGATTACCATCAATGAGAAGCTGTTCACATTGAAGGTAGCCCTTATTTATTGCTGGCACTGAGACTTGAACCTTCCGACATGTTTTCCCAAATTTGACAGATTTCCAATCGTTTTTCCGAATCACGGGAATATAAAAAAACTATCAATTCTTTATCTTACTGACGTTCAAAAATGATTCCTATGGGTTCAAAAATGTCAGGGTTATTGTTTTTTAAAGATGAAGATTAAGATGAAAGAAAAATCAAAAAAGTCTGCATATCTGGAAATCGGCTAGACTTAGATGTAGGGAAAGCTAATGAAGATCATCTTGAAATAGTATAAGGAATCTGAAAAATCAATAAAACATTTTTCAAGCTGGCGGCATTTCCGTTTATACCGGAGTCATCGCAACTTCGTTATTTCCAATGGAAAGCTATATATATTCCCTTCGGGAAATATGGAGTGCAAGAGGGAATATGGACTCTAAATCTCTTATCATTATTCCCTAAGGAAATAATATATAGCATTATACCAACTAAAAAACTCACAGGTATATTAGTTGTGAATAAAGTAGAGTAGGTATACTACTAACAATAATAGAAAATTATTCTCTCAGGCTTGAGAATTATTGACTTGTGGTATAATCTAATATTACTCACCCCTTTCCTCTCAATGCCTCACAAATGGGATTATTATAGTTTTCATCAATGAATCTACATCTGGAGTTAATACATTTAACTTTATGTAGGGCTCCATGCAGTTCTATGACATTTTGTGAACCTGCTCTTTGGTGGAGTCCATCCACATTCTGAGTAATGATTGTGAATTGTCTACCTTGTTTGGAACAGATCTTCTCATACCCAGCTAAGGCCTTGTGTGCCTGAAATTTATAAAATGACCTACTTCTCTTGGCCACCTCAACAATTGGAACCAGCACAAAAAACTCAGCAGAAACATAACTACCTTTAAAATTAGGTTTTTGGATAGGTTTGCTTCGCTCTGACATGAAAATCAAAAATACTAGAAAGAAAGAAATGTACGCAAAAGCTCCAGGTTGTGTTATCTCTCGACCCTATCAGAGGGAGACAAAAAACCGTGAGCTAAAATCTAATATTTTTCCCGTGTGTAATACACTATTTTTTTCTGTGACAGGAAAAAGGTCCAATCAATATTGAGAAGATATTACATTATATTGAATTAAGAAATTTATGGACGTGAAAGTTGAAGTTTTTAGGAGGAATGAAACCTGCCTTGCAGGCATCTTTATCATTCTTTTGAAGTAATCAAATATCTGTCAGTCTAATTCTGTGATTTAATTTTGAAAAATTGCGAATTTAGTGGCTGTTTAATAATTTACATAGCCGCGAAGTCGAATGGAAGATAAAGGACTTGCAGTTCTTTCTATGAGACGATGTTATTGGGTTATTTTTGAAAGCCATCAACAGTGTATACAGGGTGTCCCATGAGTCATGGATCAAAAGAAGTGGGTGGGAAGGGGAGTCATTTGCATTCAAACTAAGGGTATATGTGATTATCCAATTGTTGATGGTTCAAAAGTTATTAAATTTTTCTGAAAAACTCGACCCATTTGAAAGAAATTAATAACAAAAAGGCTGTTTTGAATATCCCCATATGTTATACCATTTCAGAATCTATATTGAATGGGCAACTTTTTATTATAATTGGTTATCTTCGTGGGGTAGTTTTTGAATCTGCCAGCGGCAGTAACACATGTCATAAAACTATTTCTGGGGAAAGGTGCATCATTGTGGATACAATTTGTATATACCTATATGTTATATACAGTCTGTCCAAGATAAGGTTGAACAGCATGGGGATCTCGGAAACGGTAGGAGATACGAGAACATTTATATGGGGAAAAAGTTGCGCATTCGGAGGCTCATATCAAGAGCCTTCGAAAATTTCAAATATTATTTTTAGTTTTTGAGTTATATCGAAAAAATTGAAATTTTGGAATATCTATTTCATTTTTTTTTTCTCCGTTATTATCAGAGATACAGTAAATCTGAAAATATTTTTTCATAGAAACTTTTGATGACGTTTAACGCGGTGATTTTTTGACTGATTTTTTTATGAGACGTTTCGTATCCGTAGAACCATCTTCAACGGTCCTGATAATTTTTTCACAGATACTGGGAAGTTTTCTTATTCTGAATTCAACCATGTATTATACAAGGTGATTCGAATGTGTTTCGACCTATTTCTATCCATGTTTTCTCGAACTTCCAAAGGAAAAAAGCCATCAGTTCCACTTATTTCTGATCATTTAGTGTCAAACTTGATGGGTTAGTTATTCAATACTGAAAAGTGAATAAAAAATATTCCACTACATCATTCGATCAATGCAGCGCTTAAAATTGTTGATGAATTCTCACACGAATCACTTTAACAACTTAACTTTGACAATACTTACCTACAGAGACATACATAACAAATGTTCAAAATGATTTTCTAAACAAAGATATCCTCTTCTCACAGTTGCTTCTAAGACATTGCTAAGCATTTCTGGGGTTATTCTATTGAATGCTTCGAAGACACTGTCCCTTAGTTCTTCATCACCATCAATGTTATTTGCGCATACAATTTTTGATATATCCCCTAAGAAAAAATCCAGCTGTGTCAAATCAGGCGACCGCGCCGGCCAAGGGACTGTAGAATGAGTACCAATCCATTTTTATGGATAAAAACGCACGGACTTCTCTGGAATTATGTAGCGGAGCGCCATCTTCTTGAAACCAACAGTTCTGAACTTCCGCAATCGGTAAATCATCCAGAGCTTCCTCAAGATGATTCTCAAGTAAATTTCTATATCGTTCGGAAGTCTGTGATTCATGCTAAATAGAAGGGCCAATGATTCGTGTACCGAATATTGCAACCCACATATTAAAGCCGAAACGGTTTTGGTGTCTCGCTGTAATGTATAAATGTTCATTTTCTCGTGAACAATAATGTGTATTTTTTCTATCGAAGATACCATGATTAGTGACCATGCTTTCATTGCTTTCATCAGTCCAGATGATTGTTCGAGGGGAATCTGCAAAATTTTGACATTTCCTGGTATACCACTCACAGAATGTCCTGCGCCTTTCGTCATCGCCTGGTTTTAGCGCTTGACATATTCTGAATTTGTATGGATGGAATTTTTGTTTCCGCAAAATGAAATGGGTTGTTTATTGAAACCAGTTGATGAGGTATTAGTGTGTTAACTAATTTTCCTTCAACACAAGTGGAACTGATGGCATTTTTCCTTTGGAATTTCGAAAAAACATTGATGATGGCTAAAAATAGGTCGAAACACATATAAACCACCTTGTTTAATACATGGTTGAATTCAGAATAAAATAACCTTTCAGAATCTGTGAAAAAATTATCAGGACCGCATTTAAAAAACAAAAGTTAATGATGGTTCCATAAATACGAAACGTTCCATAAAAAAATCGGTATCACCACGTTGAACGTCATCAAAAGTTGCTATGAAAAAGTGTTCTCAGTTTTTCTGTATCTCTAATAATAACGGAGAAAAAAAAATATATATTCCAAAAATTCACTTTTTTCGTTATAACTCGAAAACTGAAAATCATTTTTGAAATTTTCGAAGACTCTTGATATGAGGCTCTGAATGCGCAACTTTTTCCATAGTTAAACGACTTCGTATCTCCTACCGTTTCCGAGATCCCCATGCTGTTCAACCTTATCTTGGACAGACTGTATATATTTTTTTATCGCTTGGAGCGCACGAAAGGAAATCCCTATAATTTTCAAAGCACATCGTAGGGAGGATAGAGACAGGAGGTAGGTATTGGATTTTTTTCTGAACTTCTGGAGATTATATGTTGTTGGGAATACTTGATGTTTTTTATAGAAATGGAAAAAAAATTATAACTTTTGAACCATCAACAATTGGATAACCACATATATGGTTAGTTTGATTGGAAATGACCCCTCCTACCACCTCATTTCTTTTGATCCATGACTTATGGGACACCCTGTATACAGGGTGTCTGTAAAAGGTTGGGACATGGCTCGGCTGTGGACTCCTGGGATAAGAACAAGTTGATTTAAACCTATATCCAAAATCATCTCGTTGAGTTGGTACAAGGCGTTGAAGTTCTTTTGGAAAAAAATAATTTTGCTCATAAAAAGAGTAGGCTGAGATTTTCATAATTTTTGGCATGGCATGTTCTGTGACTGTGAGTCACGTTTTGAGATGTTTTTGATCATCATCAGTGACCTGCAAGTGATTCAAACAACTATGTTGCCGTACAAATGTGGTGATAACTTTTCAGAGGTCAGACTGGAAAGTGGAAACTTCCAGTTTTTTTTCCAGAAAGATATTCCCTTCAGGAATATTTTTTGTATCGAGTTGATTTTTGTTTGTCTCGAGGTTTATTTGCAAATAAATAATTTCTGATCTGATGCATTTTTTAGAAAAATAATCTGGTTGGGACATGGCTTGACTGTAGACTCCTGGGATAAAAATAAGTTGATTTTAGCCAACTCATCTATATCCAAAATCGTTTCGTTGAGTTTGTACAAGGCGTTAAAGTGCTCACCTTAGGTACTGAAAAGTTATCGCCAAATTTATAACATGAGAGTTCTTGTGAAGCCCGCGAGGACCAGCAGCATATCAGTTTGTTTACATTTAACAATAAGAATACATTGTAGCCATGATCAATAAACAGTTGGAATAATTAGATTGATTTTCAAAAATGCGCAGGATGCATTGTCATATGCATATCAGATAGTTATTTTTGTATCTAGAGCGCGAAATGCAACTTTGGGGATCGAGATCTGATTTTTTTAACGAGGCGTAGCCGAGTTAAAAAAATAGTCGAGATGACCAAAGTATTTCGCGCTCGAGTTGCAAACAACATTTTTTCTACAAACGTCAAAAAATATAGTTCTAAAGTAAAAATATGCTTAGCTTGATATGAAAAATAGTGTTGAACTGGCTTGAAAGCGCTTGAAAGGCCTCCCCCTATCCTCCCTAGGTACGCACGATGTTCCACGAGCATGATAGGAATTTCCTTTCGTGCGCTCCAAGAGATAAAACAAAGTTATTGTTGAACTTTCAGAAATAAATGATTTCGTGGATGTTTGCTCGATTGAGGACCATGAAGTTGAAATATGAATATCTCATATATTTTACATAACAATGCGCGAAGTAGGTACTTCGCGCATTGTTTAGTGCAAGGTATCTTGGTAACGTAGGAAACTGAAAAAAAGTGTCACTTCGCAATTTGTTATCAATGCGCGAACCTTGTCATTTTTTGACGTTTGTAGAAAAAATTATTTATTTGCAAATGAACCTCGAGACGTCGAGACTTATCAAAAATTAACACAATTCAAAAAATATTTCTGAAGTGAACATCTTTCTGAAAAAACAAAACTGGAAGTTTCCAGTCCGACCTCTGAAAAGTTATCACCAAATTTGTACAGGGTGCGCCTCTTAAAATGGAATCCCCCCTTAACTCTTTCTTCAGAGATATGAAAAAATGTTAAATGAAAAAGTTATGTCAAACGACCCAAACTTTTATTTCATGAAGTTGTTTCATATACAGGGTCATTCGTTTTTCCAGAAAGGATATCAACTTCGATTTTTTAATGGAACACCCTATATAATTTACAACATATCGATAGAGCCTTTCTTTCTGATTTCAAAAATTTATATGAGTTGCATATTTGGATGAAAAATAGTTGAGATATTGATGATCAAAATTTACCATAATACCGCTTAATGAACCCCCATTTCATATCATCTAATGTAAGTTGAATATAGTGGGCTTTTATATATTGTTCAAGCTCCATGGAAATGTCATAGTATTGTTTATTATGAAATTGAAATCGTTCAATCTCAATACAAAAAAATATGAATAGACAGTTTCAATGAAAGATTCGGTATTTTGGTAAACTTTGATAATCAATAACTCAATTATTTTTCATCCAAATATGCAACTCATATATATTTTTGAAATCAGAAAAAAAGGCTCTATCGACATGTCAGAAAATATATAGGGTGTTCCATTGAGAAAATCAAAGTTAATGTCCTTTCCGGAAAAACGAATGACCCTGTATATGAAGCAACTTCACGAAATAAAAGTTTGGGTCGTTTCAAACAACTTTTTGATTCAACATTTTTTCACATCTCTGAAAACAAAAGAGTTAACAACAACATGGTTGTCTGAAACACTTGCAGGTCACTGATGATGATCAATAACATCTCAAAACGTGACTCACAGTCACAGAACATTCCATGCCAAAAATTATGAAAATCGATCTCAGCCTAATCTTTTTATGAGCAAAATTTTTTTTTTTTCCATAAAAACTTCAACGCCTTGTACCAACTCAACGAGACGATTTTGGATATAGGTAGGAAGGTAAGTTGGCCTAAGCCCTAAATCAACCTGTTATTATCCCAGGAGTCCACAGCCGAACCATGTCCCAACCTTTTACAGACACCCTGTATATGTGATATAATATATCCAGGAAAAAAAGGAGACACTTTTTCTCATAGGAAAAAAGTAATCTATGAAGTGACATTTTATAACCTGTCAACAGAGATGAAATTTCAAACTTATTTCACAGAATAAAAAACAAAAACCACTGAATTATTCACTTTTGTGGAAGCTTTTATCCAAATTATTTGTTTTTGAAAAATTGAAATTTTTTGTTTGTGAAAATACAGAGATGAAGCAAGAGGTAAAACTCATGGCAGGTTTTAATATGTTTTGAAGTGCAATTTTGAAAGCTACCATCAGTATGGTTTTAGATTAATAAGGTTATTTCCTGCTTTGACCACAGCTTACCTACTATTCTTTGACTATCATCTAAAACTGGATCTAGAATTATATTGGAAAGGAACCTCTCCATAGGTATTTTTAGGTTTTGGAATTTGATGAAAGAAGTATTCAGCTACATTTTTTATTGATTTATTGTAAGTTTAATAATGAGGAAATAGTGAATTTTATAAATAGTGTGTTAGTCGAGTGTAGGGCCAAACTTCAATTGATTCAGTTGATTGTTTGAGTGGTTCTCAGACTATAGAAGTTTTCAAGATACAGAGTTTCAAACTTTTTAAAAATGTTTTTTTGCAAATCTAGATATGGCTGAATTAGTCTGACTAGCCCCCCACTATTAAAAATAATGCTCTTATATTTTAACAGAATTGAATAAGACATTTTTGCTATACTTATGGAAACCCCATTTTTTAAAAAAGCTTTGAACCCTGTATCTTGTAAATTGTGTCCCTATTTCCTGAACTACTCTTACATTTACAAAAACTATTCAACTTGATAACTGCTGTCTTGAAGTTAGGCCACATACTTTTAATAACTCCCTGTACAGTAGGAAGCATGTTGCTATGTTAGTTTCATGCACAACTTGACTTAGTTTAAACTTGAGAAAGAGGAGTGATGATTATCAATAATTCTGAATCTGAATCAAAGTTGTAGACTGTAGCCATGAAGAACATTATTTTATTGATTTGAAAATAATCATAGATTCTTGATAGACTTAAGAAAAAAGTAGACTATGTTTTGGAAAAACTCATATTACTGATTCAGTTCAGTTCTAGTGAAATATTTCAGTTAGTTCAGATTGAAAGAATATCGCCATTGTTGTTACTTGGTTGCTACACCATTATTGCTACTCTATGATATTGTTTTCATATGGTTTTCATCATAAGATCATGTTCATAAGTCATTTTTGTTGGTAGTTCTGTCATTGTCTTGGTATTTGTTATACATTCAGAGTTGGTAATTGGTTATTCAGGTTCCAGTTCAGTTTATTGAATTTATGGTTTTGAATATGGAAACATGTCAAAGTGTGAGGAATATAGGTCCACATCCAAATCTTTGATATCTTGAAAGAAGACTCAAAACAAACTTAAAGACACATTAGACACCTACCTACCTACATGATTTGGTTGTGCATTGAAGGCTATATTCCTTCTGTAGTGGTAAAATTCCCAAACTAAGGAGGGATTTGCTGCAAATGCCTGTGGAGTAGCTAGATCTTGAGACCTGTGAGTTCTCCAAAATCCACCTGCCCCTCTGAAAACTGGAATACCTGATTCAGCTGAGACCCCAGCACCAGTGAGAGCCACAATATTTTTTGATTCATCTACAATTTTTTTGAATCCAGTAAAATCACTGATTGAACAGTTCTTCATCTTCCAAAAAAATACTATGTGTTTATTTTTCAAATTTAAAACAGCCATTTTTCCTTAATGTCATCAGTCATGTCAACGTTTCAATTAGTTGTCAAATGTCAACTATCATTATTGTCAAATTAAATGGCACATCCTGGTCAAGAAAAGTGCCTAAATTAAATCTGTCGAAACCTTAGATCATTGATCTAAGGTCGAAACCCCATCACGTGATATGTTGAGTTCGTGTTTTTCTGATTATTTTTCGCAATAAAATTGTGGAGGCTGAGTTTGGTCAGGAAATTATATTCTGATTCACTAGTAGCATGGCGTCAGCCCACTGTGATCATTTGTATAGTGATTTAGGCTTTCAACTGATTTCAAGGATGTTTTTCTTCCTCTCAAGGGTCTCGTTGATAATTCTAGGTTTTTCTACGAGCGAATGCGCATGCGTCTATAATATGATTCACTGTGACCAATCTGAGAATGAGGTTTGGAAATGGTTCGAAAACTGTATGCTCCCGTTTCACAGGGTTTATATCTGTATCAATGGCGTGAAATGTGCTGAGCGTTGAACTCTTTTCTACCTTGAACTTGACTAATGTCAATTTCCATCAAGGGACCCTACCTTGAACGAGAGAAGAAAGTTCTCTCCTCTTCCATCATTCTCTTCAATCCTACCAACGTGGCGGCATTGAAATTATAGAGAGGTCTGATAAATCTTTCCTTGTCTAACATATACTTTGTGCCACTGAACTATTTTTCAAATCAGCAGAGTGTCAAATTCAACGATATTAACAAATTATGTCAAAATAAGTACAATATAATTTATAAATCAAAATTTAATTTCGAAAATAGTTCAACGACACTGAATTGGCCATCTTTTCAGACATTTCATATTGTGAGGTTGGCTACAGAAATTTGCCAGATGACAAACGTCAAAAGGGCACGACTCTCAATTATTATTTGTATTTTACTCAGATCAAAAACTGTTGAATGGTTATAATTTGATAATAAGAGCACTTTTTACCTCAAACTAATTTCAATTGGCAATGTATTCGACAAATAATGACTCTCAATAGGCCTTTTCATTTAGTTGTGATTTTAACAGACATGCGCTGGATCTCAGATCCAAAATTTGGAGGGGTAAAGCGAAGTCTCATTGGCTATAGGTCCGACACAAAATTTTGATTGGCCCATTCGGTTTTTATTGATTTTCTATCGATTGTCATTTGTCAACAGTGTCGACCACCAGAGGCGTTCGTCAACCATCGTTGCCAGACCTACTATTTTAACAGTAGATCTACTGTTTTTGTCTCCGTTCTACTGCTCTACTGTTCAAGGCAATGGCCTGAATGCCTGAATGGTCATGTTATAATATGACATAACTACCTAATATGTAACAATGAATAATTATTGTGGCATCACAGTAAGAAGATGTATGATAAAAATATACCGGAATAATCATATTCAGTCAGATTAGTAAAAAATTAGATTTCATTTCCAGTTCGGTTGAGGATAATACAAATTTTATTTCTTATTTTATTATTTTTTGTTATCCTTTGTTCGATTTTTAATAGGTATAGAGATCAACCATAATCATGTTTTCGTTCAATATATAGGTTTCTATATTTTTTTCATCAATTATAATAGCAAATTGTGATGATTATCAAAATCTACTGTTCAGTTTTGATGATCTACTGATTTTTTTCTCACTCATCTACTGCTCCGGCAAATTTTCATCTGGCAACACTGTCGTCAACGTCAATCGTCATTGAGATTTGAGAAATGGCGTCTTGGTATTTTCGTTTCTAGTTTCTATATTTCATAATTTTCAATTAATATTCCTGGTGTGTATTGATTGTATAGTGATAATTCAATTAGGAATAAACGTGACTTATTCCTTACCGAAGAGTGTGGTGCAAGTTTTTTTGGTGAAAATGGTTTTGACATGTTTTGTTTGTAGCGCGTTCATTTCACAGGTGAGTTTGATACCTTCATCCATTCCACTTTTCCATCATCTTACCTATAGATTTCATATATGAATTGATAGACAGTGTCTACCTCTCGAATATTATTGAGTATATTTATAGAGGACAACATCTGGGGGAACAAAGAAAGATCTGGAAGAGTGGTAGTGGTGAGCAAATTATGTATCTGCTTCGTTCAAATCAAAAACTCAAGGAGCTTTTCTGACTAAAGTGCCGTTGACTGGATATTTCTACTGAGAAAATGTTCTATATTATTGCATATTCTTATTAACCATTTATTTGTTCACAACCACTCTCAACGCTTTTCCACCTCCTTGTGGTCATTTTATTCTGTTTTGCTATTTCTAGTTATGGAATCATCTTGATTTCCACAATCTATCATTTTAGACATTTCCTAGTTATTGAATCTCTATTTCCACCTTTCACTTCTGACAAATATATACTAATAGTCAGCCAGTCTCCAAGATGGCATTATACTAATAATAATAATCTATTATTTTCTAAGAAACAAAATAATATACATGTTTATATCAGGAAAAACAGAACATAAATAATAATAAGTCTAGGAGTTGACCTCCAAGTTAACTATGACAGTGTATCTCAGTTGATAGGTACATGATATAAAATGTAAATCTTCAAATAGGTGATCAATATCAAAAATGAAATTGATATCAATTCATAATGTCAGCTGGAAATATAAGAAGAAGGCAATTTCTGATTCTGATGGTCATGAGGTTTTCTGTGAATATACTCAATTTGGTGTTTCTGTACCAACAATTATTATTATCTCACTGGTTTGATATTGAAATAACATGTTCAGTAGCATTCAGAAATGTTGATATTCTTATTGCTGAGTTAGACACTGTTTATTTTCAATAAATATCAACAATCCTTTTTGCATTTGTAAGTGAATTAGTCTATCAATATATTGATTAGATATATTCACAAGTCTTTCCTGAAATTGTAGAATTTCTATAAGGACTCTGAAAAGAGAAGAAAATGGGCAGAATTCTTGGAGCTGACTGACAATCATATCAATATGGATATAGAGTATACATGTTTGCACAGCTCATTTTCCAGATTATCACTTCATTATGAAACCTGGTGGAAAATGTTTGCTTGAAATGTATGACAATACCTATTCTGAGAGGTGGACCATCAATGAGGTGAGTAATTAATCTAACAACATTCAATTGTGACTCAATTTGAGAGACATTCAAAGGAATGAATGGATCCATCATCCATTCAATTTTTTTTGCTGATATTCATCATGCAATTTCTTCATTATTCATCCAAAAAAACATCCATTGTACCAAATAGCTTATAATATATATATATATACAGTGTGTATCTGATGGATATTAAAACACTTTTTTTTTATTGGATAGGTATTCAAAATGTCGCTTCCTCTTTTCAAGCACCCTGTATTTCATGATGATGCAAATCGGTGAGTACAGGTATGTTTCAAGTGATTCTGATTCAGAATTCATCTTTTTTTTAGTGAAGAACTATCATGATAAAAAATATTGCTCACTTATTCTTTTTCTTTTTTTTCTCTCATACATTGTATATTTGAATGATGAGAATTGATATCAATATATTTCAAGTAATTCTCAATAGTGATTTGTCATCCGTTCTACCTCAGTTATTCTACATTTTCTGATCACATTTTGAAGAAATAATGATAATTCGTTTTTTCAAACATCCTGTGTTTTGAGATGATGAAAATCGACACAGGTATGTTCCAAGTGATGCTGATTCAGAATCCATCATTGTTTTTTCTGAAAAATATCCCTATTAGTACTTTTTGAAATATTGGTTCATGAAATTGATCACAGTTGGCCATGATTAGAGTCCAGGAATGAAATCACTCTCTTGTTGAATGGATATTTTGAATACCTATCAAACAAAAAAAAGTTTTTCGGAATTGATAAGATAATAACGATTTTACAGGGGTAGTAAGTCCTTAAGGTATATGAATGACAAGATGTTGACACTTCATCAGTAGGATAGTACACACAAAAGGCCCCTAATATATTGTTTGGGTTAGGGAAACACTTTGTATATTTAATACAAGAATGACATCAATGTTCATGTATATTCTCAGAATATTATTTGACAAAAGATTCTGTGACTATGTTGAATATTATAATATTCTACAAAATGGGTATATTTGAACGTTGTTGTTCTAGAATATTAATTTTTTTTCTATATCGTCAGAATATTTGCAAGGAATATTCCATTAATGTTCACAATATACTGAAAATATTATTTCATGAACATTCTGGAATATTATATCTCGGGAGCTTCCAGGAATGTGATTTCATAATATTATTATAATATTCGCACCAAACAAGCCATGCATATTCGCAACTTTCTGAGAATATGTTATGAATATTCCTCAGAATATTCTACAAGATGACGCAGCTTGGAAGAATATTCTGAGAATTTTCGTGCCATCTGGGATATGAATATATTTCCATAGATTGTTGAACCACGAACGAAATAACTAATTTGTTATATGGAAATTTTTATCATCCCAGATTCAATAGGGTTTGTAGAAAAGTTATAGAAGAGTGAGTATGTATTCATGGCCATTCAAAATCAAGGAAGAAGAAAAGTATAAATATCTGAATGTGACAATTTTATTTCATCAAAGGAAATTTCTTTGAAAATTCAAAATTATCTACTTTCATACAAGTGTGGAAAAATAAATTTTGATAATATTGAGTATGGTAAATCATTTGATGGAGAATTTTGAATTTTTATTTATTTGAATTTAATGGCGTTATTTTTAACTGAACAACAAGTTATTGACATTCTTAAAATTGTGTTCCAAACATTCAAACAATAATCTGAAATATATTTTCTCATCCATAGGCTGAAAACAAGCGATTGAAAGAAGATGATTCTAAATTACAAAGGAGGATGAAGGAGTTGGAGAACTATAGGGCTAAGAAAGTCTTGAGTAACTTTGTGGAAAGTTTGAAGCAGAACTATAAAAATGTAAGTTTTATACATCTCTTACTTTGTAAAAACTTCACAAACAATAAGATTTACACAAAATTCTCAAACACATGA